GTCAGAACCAGTATAAGGAGTAGAACCAAGAGTGAGGTTAAACAGTTGTGAGGTCATGTGATTTGCGGCTCCTATGTCAGGGTACCAGAGGGTATCATCAGATTGGGGAGGAAAACCAGAGTAGTGGGTCGAGATGCTGGAAGGACCAGGGACTTGATACGCATGATCATATAAGTGAAAGCAATGTTTAGCTATATGGCCAGGTTTGTTATAGACTTGGCAAGGGTTGTCTTGTTTAGGTGGGAAGGAGTGTCCTCCTTCTTTGTTTGGACGTCCATCTCTGAAGTTGGAACGATCACTATTATGGTAGTATCGGCCAGCACGTCCTTGAGAGAAGAAGCCGCCACCACCACCACTACATCTGCTTTGGGTTTGGGGATATGAGTTCTGTTGAACAACAACGTTAGCAACAGGGGAAGGAAGGATGGGTGCAGTGGTGTCGGCGAGCACATGTTTTTGTTGTGCTTTAGAGGTAAGGAGATGGCTAAGAACATCTTCAGGAGTGAACTGAGCTTTTAGAGTGGTTAAGACAGTGACCATTGAGTCATAGTTGGTGCCTAATCCAGCAAGAAGATATGTGTTGAAGGCAGAATCAGTGACAGGGCAACCAGAGGTAGCTAGAGAATCACTAAGCATCAAGGCTTTGTTATAGTATTCTAAAATACTTTCATCGCCCTTTTTAAGGGATGTTAGCTGTTGCTGGAGATGAAGCACCTTCGCTTGAGATTGTTAGGCAAAAGAGGTCTCTAAAGCAAGCTAGATGGCACGAGAAACAACTAGTTGATCCATTTCAAACCATTTTAGATAAGCTGGATTAGGGGAACCATCAGGGATTTTGGTGGGTGATGGAGGATTGGAGCCATCAATATAGTAGAATAGATGTTGTCTGTAGAGGTAGGGAAGCATTTGGACATGCTCAACAGGATAGTTGTCCAGCATGAGCTTGATAGTGAGGTAATGGGAGACATTTGATGGGAAGACGGTGGGGTGGTTGGAAGAGGAGGGAGTGGTTGTGGAAGAAGACTGTTGTGACTCACTCATTGTGGCGGAGGCGCACTCTGCTTTGATACCATATCAGAGTCGAGCCTCAAAATCACAAAAGTAGAATAGAAAGTAATAACTCAATGATATTTGTATTTCATATTTTCATGTGTTATGTACAGTGAAGAACTATTCCTTATATAGGCACTTGAGGGAGAATAAGAGAGTGAGCAAATAATAAAGCACATGCTATGAGAAGAACAATCTAGAAAACTAGTGCTAGCTAAGACCATGTACAGAATCAGGCAATTGGGCCTAAGATGAGTTTTGGGGTTGTTAGGCTGTTGTGATATTGGTGTTAACAATTTCCCTGTATCCCAAAAGATTATGAAATTTCACTACAACTTAAAGACTAAAACGAAATAAATTTTGTGGTTAAAAAAATAGCCCCTACTCTTTTCTTTTCTTTTTTATTTTCTTAAATTTAAACCATCACCGGTTGCTAGCATTTGCCCATCAAGGTAAGTCGAAGATCTAGTCGCTGCCCCTTGAGTGACAGTGATCTGCTGGAGCTTCGGACACAAAAATAACATGATTAAACAATAATTAATGGAGATAAAAATAAAAAACGATACAGATAAGTTATTAGTATCCCTTATCAATTTGATCAAGCCATCTCTAAAATATTTCTCTTATATGTGAAACTGGAAAAAATTTATTTTCATGTGATATATTTACACATTAATTATTTCAATTTAACCCTTTAATTTTATATTGATTTTAATTTTATCCCTCAGTTATTCCATATCTTAGCGTAAATTACATTCCAAAATATGTCTTATATACACTTGTATAAGGGTCTTATATTTAGGACTGGAGGAGTATTTAAGACCAGAAGAGCATATAAAAATAAATCTAAGAGACAAGAGTACTCTCACTAAAGTTAACATAATTTTTGGAATATGAAATTTGAACTTTATTTTGATTATTTTGATTTTGGTCCCTCAATTTTTTTAAATAGATAGATGTCCCTCAAATTTCGAACCTATAATTGTAGTCTTTGGAATTTATTTTGCCTTAAAGCATTAGTCTAAGGAGGTGTAATGGTGTTAAAATCTACTAAAATATTATAAACATCATTAAAAACTTAAAATAGTATTGTGAACTCACTAGATGGCATCTAGTTGGATTTTATATGGATAATAGAAGGAAAAAAGAAGAATAGATTTTCAAATGTAATTGTTTATCCCCCGACTTTTTCTTTTTTGTTAATCGTTTTATGAGCTATTCACTATGCTACATTTTGAGAACTCATCCCTTCTGTATAGTCATTCTCTATATTGTATTTTGAGAACCTATTGTTTTCTTTTTCTTGTTATTCACACAATAGCTAGTTATGTGTTAAATGGTGAGTCCACATCACCATTTTGGTGTCATTTACGATACTTCAACAAATTTTAACACTATCGCACTTCTAGTTACTAATATTTTAGGACGAACTAAATTTGATAAATTAAAACTATTAGTTTGAAATTTGAGAGGTTAAAACAAAAATGAATTCAAATTTCAAAGACAAAAAATTACATTAACCCAAATACGTTTCACATGTCCATTATTTTTAATTAATTTTTTTAATCTCTATAATTTGATTATTTATATCTTATAAAAAAATAAAAGAAGTATAATGAATGTATTATTCATAATTTGTAAATAAGGCGACTCATTATTTATGTTTGGTACGTAGAGATCCACATAGTTATCTAAAATGAAGGGTCAGAGGCGGACAAACGCCCACCCAATGTACGACTTCATCGACACATTAAAACAAAAACCTGGGCAACAATTGATGCACGGACACATCGATGCAGGCCATACAGCAAGTTGAACAAAGAATTTGAAATGAATGTGACGAAAAAGTATGGCCCAAATTTGTAGGTTCAATTGTGAGGCACAAATTGAACACGTTGTGCCCCCATAAAATTACAGCGCATCCACCACTCCAAAAAATTATAACCCACGAAACTTTTATTTTTCGAGAAGTTGCGGCAGAGAACATAATTCGCCAACCTTAACAGTGGGACCGACCCACGCTACTGTTAGGGTCCCCCCGCGCGCAGATATTCAAATATACAGATTTGGACTCTTTCAGAATCCACTTTCTCCGCCCTCAGATCAAAATATCAAAATAATGGATGGTTTAGAGGTAATATTTTATAAAATTTTAATTAAAATTTTTATAAATTAATTTTTTGCACTACAGGTATACTTTGTCCAAATTAAATTTTAATGGTTTAAATTTATTTATTTATTTTTTTAGTAATATTATAATAATATTTTATAAAATATTACGTTTGAACCATCCATATTTTGATCTAAGGGTGGAGAAAAGATTTTGAGAGAAAACAAAAAAAAAAGATTCTACATATATCTACATGCATACATAGCTTCTTGTTTTTTTTTCCCCCCTTTTTTGGGGTAACCACATATATGCTTCTTCGGTCTTAAGTGTCAGAATTAATGAAGAGTTTTATTGTATTTCTAAATGGAACAACACCTCAATATATTTTGAGTCTCAAATTTATAATTTTCTGTCTAAATTCTCTTTATCCATTGCACATATTAAGAGTGGTATCTAATGCAAATGATTAAAAAGGACATTTTATTAATTACATTTTCCTTAAATAAATAACTTAAACTAATTTTTTCAGTATTTTGAAATTAATTATTTAACTCCTAGATTTAAGGCAGAGTAAAGTATTATGTTAAAATATTTAGATAGACATAAAAATATATTATTAGTTAGTTTATTGAACTATTTTTGTTATATATAACATCATCACTGAAATAACGTAAATTTTTTAATTTATGAAATTATTAACAAAATTGAAATATTTAAAAAATTAAATTAATAATATTTTAATATGTTTTGTATGTATGGATATTGACCAAGGGTAGCCTTTGTATCGTTCTTGCTTTTGCTTAGTAATGTTATTCAGTTTTTATTTTTTATTTAAAAAAAAAAAAGAATTCTGCTCGTCCCCACTAACTGACTGACTATGCAAACTGGCTCCGTCCCTGCATAACATGTACAACGTTTAATGATTCGTAGCAATCCACGTTAGTTTGATAACAAAACTCGTACATATTGTTTTAACTTATTGTCAACCATTGGCACATCTCTTGGTAAAAAAAAAAAAAAAACATTGGCATACCTTTCTTACTTGGGAAATTTGGTAAAAAAACTCTATTTGAAATTTTAATTGACGAGAAGGATGTGAAAATGTGCAAGTATAAGTATGATTCGTAAGTATAACATATCTAAAAGTGATGCCGTTCGGCTTTCTTGAACTGACTTGAATGGAAAACTGAAAACGACTTGATTAGTTATCTAAAACAACAGACTAATCAACAATAGCTGAGTAGAAGAAATACAATGCGCCTCATGCCAAATCTCCGGTTCTAAGAAGTGCTGAACTCCATTTGGGACGCCATAATAGTCGAATTTAGAATATTCGATGGTACCGAATGACAAATAGTTGCCACAAAAAAAAAAAAGGAAAAAGAACAACAGAGGCAAGGAAAAACCTATTTCTTAAAAAAGCAAACCCTACAAATGATCCATATTACTTCCACAGCCATTAAGAATCCTTAATTGGCCATTATGTCAAATGAATGAATCGAAATCCTAGTGATAAAGTTAGCCACAGAACCTTAAAAATGGAAGCTTTTACTATTTCTTACCTGTGATCTAATTCCTCGTCACAATTCACCTAATAAATGAAACGGCAAGTTACAAAGGCTTGTCAAATTTTGTTGAGTTTATACCAACATTCTCTCAATTCTTAATTGCATTTAAATCTCCATACCCTAACTTCTAATCTAGTCTTACATAGTTTGACTAAAATATCCTTCATTAACCACTCAAACATCTCTTAATTTATGGAGGATATTTTAGCCCCAAAAAAAATCTAAACAAGACTAAGGTGCGTTGTTTGAACAAAGAAAGGAAATTGGAGTAATTTCACTGAAATTTAACACAAGCTAATGTGATTAATTCTAAATGGAAAAATCGTTCTCAGTACCAAAAGACACTCGTGAGGCTGCATGCAATCTCCATTACTAGATGATGTTTTCGAGGTTGCCGTGTTACAATACCATTACTATCTTTTTCCCCCGAATGAAAGGCTTTTTCCTTTTGTTTTTTTTTTTTGGGGGGGGGGGTTTGGGACTTACAATAGCAAACAAAAGCAGAGCACTCTGGCTGCTATGGTTATCTACCTCCACTAACCTCTCGAGACCATGGGCTGCTTTGGCAAGCCAATTGACGCACTCATTAGCTTCCCTATTTAATACCACTTCCAAAGATGAGTTTCGCTGCCCAGTCTTCCAAAGAATTTACTTACAAGTAGTGTGTACGTACAGCTAAGTTGTAAACCTGAAAGGCTTGCGCATGCAAAGCTGCTCAATAACCCCCTCCTCGAATGATCTCTTTACGGGAAGAAGCTTGACTTCATAAAGCTTCGGCCATAGTTTCCCGGTAACTGCAATTAAGGTCAATACACAAAAAGAAAAAAGCATCAAAACAGGAAGAGGTTAAAATCACCCAAAAAGAGTACAAGGGCTGTGCAATTGACTCCTCAGAAAAAATTCTAGGAGCAAAAACTACAAAAAACAGCAATACACAAATTATTGGATGAATTTTTTTGTTTCCTCCTTAATAATTTGATGAATCATTGTTTTTATGCATGATATTTTGACATTTTAAAGGCATAAATAAATAGTAAAATCATGCAGCCTTCCCACAGTTACTCATACTACCCTTTCACTTCCCTTCCGAATTATAGACATCACATGTAACAGATAAATAAAAATTGAATTTTAGGATGGATGAACATACCATATATTCTCATTCCACTAGTTAAATATCATAATAAAAATGTTTGTGCCAGTTTCTAAGTAGAACCATGCATGACTTCCAATGTACCTCTATTAGAAATAAAACAAGAACAAGTTCGAGCTTACCAAAAACTCTCTTTTGTTCACTATCCCATGCTATGCCATTCAAAACATCAATACCCTACAATATGCCAAATATTAGTGTAATGATGATAAGATAGCCAAAACAAAAGTGTAACATCGGTTTGCCTTTTAAAGTTTTTACTTTAATCTAACTTTTGACACAGGCTATCAGAATACAATATGAATATACTATGGTACAGAACAAAATCCCAATTCAAGGAGATAAAAGGGCTCAGGTTACTTGCATTATTCCCAGCTGCAATCAATTCTTGCCTGCATAGAATAGGTAAAAAGCAGCTATGAGAAACAGATGAACCGTCACCCACGTAAGTCATTAAGATAAGCAACATGCATATGCTTAAAAGAATCGATTTATACAAGAAATAAGGAAAAAAAGACCTCAAATTTGGGAGGAGAATCCATCCAAGAACACTTCCATCCTTAGGAGAGATTTTTGCTATGCAATCAGTCTACAAATTAAAACATATCGATGTTGACAAGTCCATCAAGAAACAACAATACTGGGCCATGGATAACATATCTATTGGTATTTTGAAGATGAGCAGAAAAATACATTATTTTCTGTGAATAAAATCATGGGCATACCATATATACATTGGCCCAAATTTCACCATTTATAAACTCCAATTCATTGAGATTGTGTACTTGATGGCCTTTGAAGTGGACAACTTGTTTAGATATAACTGCAAAAGTAAGAGCAAAAAAATTCCAGTGAAAAAATAAAGCAATAATAAACTTATTGAAGTAGCAACAAGCCGTGAACTTTAAAGCTGTATATAGATTTGTAGACATGCGCGTGCACAATCTTACACCAATATACATGGCACTGAAACTAGAATATATAAGCATTGCTTTTGTTTCCACAAAGTGCAACAAGAAAAGGCATTTGTGTCTTGTGTGTTTTGTGTGTGTGTGTGTAGGAGGGGGAGGGGGACCTTTAAATGTATGAGGATCGATATGATACAATGTTGAACTGCCATCACTTCCATACAAGACTTTTCCATCAGTCGCCAGACCCCAACCATCTTTCATCTCATGAATGAATTGCTGTAACTACAGAAAAATAAGGGGGGGAAAGCATTGTATGAAATTTTACTACCAATATCAAATGGCAATTTGAAATCTAGCCATCCTTGTAAAACATCGCAAAAAAATTTAAGAACAAAGAATAAGAGATTGGTAATTCAATTTTGCAGGAAAAAGTCCATAACCCAAAGTGTAATAAAATTCATAAAGACATTACTCAAAAAATTTTATACAGATTGCATCTAAATTAAACTCCCATCAACTGACAACCTAATGTAACTACATAAGCCTTTCGTCACTAGTAGAAACCATGTTAGCTGAATCTAACATACACTACCAAGGTGATATTCTCCTCCTAAATTGTAAAGAAAAATAATATAAATTTTTAATTAATAAAAAGGCACAATTCAAGGTATGATCTTTCTGCCTCAGATTATATTACAGATATTTTCAACTAATATTACTTATATTACCATCTGAAAAATCTTTCAACTTTCAAGCTTCAGGTTTGAATATTATTGGCAATAAAAAGGGAGCAAATATAGTTAAAAAATGGTTTTCTGTCATTACAAATTAATAATACATTCTAAAAATTAAGTCCAATACTCCAAAGAGAATATCCAAATAACAAGCAGTTCCCTTTTTTACAGTGTCTATTAGATTCAGATCATAAAGAGCTCCCCAAAAACTACATAAAAGAAAGAAAATTACAAGAGGGGCAAGGTAAACCACAAACTTTGCTTAAATTATCCCGATCATATATGAAACCAGTTGTCTGCAACCAGGTCACTTGGTACAGCCTACAAAAAGAATTATTTTATTCAATTTAACACTATTACCATGTGTAAGGGTAAAATTAAAAAAAAAGAAACAATAATTCTGTAAAGATATGCAGGTAACAATATAATCTTAGACATTCAGAAGAAATGGATTGCGAAACAGCCTGAAGAACGAATCACTGAATCATCTCAAGCAGTAAACATTGGTAAAGAGCTGATGTCTCAAAAGGAGTGCCTATCAACTTTAGAGCCAACACAAACTGAAAGATGATCAGAAGTAAACCTAGAGATTCGCAATTGGACGAGAATAAAAGAATGTGTTTTAGCATCATTCTTTTTTGTCCTCCATGCATAGATCACTCATCATGGGGTGCCAAAAATGTAGCAGTTTCTAAGTGTATGAAGAATTTCTATAGCATTTTCTTCATAATTATTTCAAGAAATAATACTGGACAATGAAGAGGAAAGAATACATGATCAATGAACAAGAAGTGCCCTTCCCTTTAACAAGGAAAATGAAATCAAGAAGAGAAACATGAGGTATTTTCCATTATTTTCCTAACATCTAGCATTTTTTTATAAAAGAGACGATGAGAATGAGGGTGAAAGAGTATCCTCCTAAGAGAGGGTCATATATCAAGAACTTTAAAAAAATTATCTGTTGAAGACGTCATGAGCCTGGGCCCATAATTAAGCTTTCTTAGTTTTAAATATTATTAGATAGTATCAGCTTTTGTTATCTCCTTAGATAGTGCGAGTTTGATTCTGATTTGATTGTGCTTTGAAATATTTGATTTATTTCCCTTTGATTATGTAATATGGCCGATCCTAGTGAGAGATTTTCACCTAGGATAAGTGCCTTTAAATATTGCTTCTAGCTATTAAATAAAAATTCAAGTTTCATGGGCAACATCTTCTACATGTATCAAAGCATCGCTGATCACCATGATCTGATTTAGTTTCGGATTGGATACACCAGGCTAGGGTGGTTCTTCCTCCTCAACGCACAAGGCCACTGCAGCCAGGAATCCAAGGATAAGCCATCAGGTCCCGATCGATACCCAGTCCACTGCAATTACGGATCACAGACTCAACGACCAAAACTACCTATAGTGGTCTATCGGCATGAGGTTATACATGACCAGAAAAGGTAAACTTGATTATCCAACTGGAAAAAAGCCTGGACCTACACTTACTGATTCATCATATGGAGAATGGGAAGACGAGAATTCAATGCTCTAGTGTTGGCTCTTAAACTCAATGACACCAGAAATTAGCATAAGATTTTCCTTGTTTTAATCAGCCAAAGAGGTTTGGGATGCCGTGCGTGACATGTTTGCTTTGATCAAGAATAAAGTAGCAATTCTTGAGATCAAAACCAATCTTGACAACCTTGAGAAAGGTAATCTTTTAGTTACTAAATACTGGACTAACTTGCTTATTCTATGGCAACAGCTAGACTGATGTGAAGCGCTTGAGTGGTCTTGTACCACTAATGCTCTGCTGTATGCCAAAATAAGAGGAGGAAAAAATCTATAAATTCCTGCTCGGCCTTGATTCTAGGTATGACGTGACACGAGGATGCATTATGGGACAAGACACACTCCTGATTTTGCGTTAAGTCTTCTTCATCATCAAACAATAGGAGAGTAGATTAGAGCTCTCGGCCCCCAAGCAACAAAACTCGGTGACGTAGAAGCTGGTGTCTTTTATTTAACAAGAGGGCAACCAAATAACAACAATGGTAAGAAAAGCAATAAATGGTGTGAACACTATCAGAAGGCAGGCCACACCAAAGATGTATATTGGAAAATCCATGGCAAGCCTCCAAACAACAAAGGAATGGGAAGCAAAGATGGCAGAGCATTTGCTACCAAAAAAGGGTCTAAATTAGAAGTTGATGACGAGTAAGGAAGACATAGAGTTTCTAAGCAAACTTTTAAACAAACAAGATACTTGTTAGGCGTAGAACAACAAGGAAAGTAATAGGAACTGTACTTTATTTTCACAAGACCCCCATACATTAACTAATATTGTTTACTTATACTAATAACCTTCTCTAACTAATCAATCCTCTTAACTAGCTCTAACTCTAAAAACCACCATGTAACAAATACACCCGCCCTTAAAAAAAAAAAAAAAATCCTCGTCCTCAAGGATTAATACAATTGTTAAAAGAAAATACATTCAAGATTGTAAAATAATAGTTGGAACTTAGGACATTAAGAGGTGCCCTAAAAAAAAAAAAACAAAGAAAAAGTCTTCAAAATCTATTGATGCCACAAGGCCGCCTCTAATGCATTATATACTATCCAATGTCAAAAGCCCATGAACACTAAATCAAGGAGAGGCCTATTTCCATACCCCAAATATGCTCAGCTCCTTTAAATCCATAAAGGTGCTTATAGTCCGAAATGAGGCACTCCTCATCCTTAATGGGAAATAGTTAGACAGCAGTACCAACACAATGCCTAAGAACACCAAAGAGATACTTTGCATGTGAGACCGGAGAGTCGAAGAAAATGCAGTGACACCAGTCAAAGAAAATGCAGAGCTTCAAACACCCCGCCTATTTGCGTGCTTGACCATATCAATGTAAAATTGCTGTATTGCCACCATATGAGCATTAGAACTCAAAAACATGGAGGAAAATTTAGGCTTGATGTATAAATCCTCATTGAAGACAAAGCAGCACCAAGTCAACCTTGTTACTATGACGGTTCCAACTATTAATTCTTCTTCTATTACCCTCTGGCTGTTCCATGCTAACCAAGATAGTGGCTTGAAGCTTCCAACGGTGCCATGTGAAGTCTCCATCCCGAGCCAAAAATGGAAATTTAGTGTGAAGCACCCTTGAAGAAAGAATGAAAGGGAGGATGGATTTTTGTCCCCACTTGAAGCAAATGGTGGCTTAAATTCACAGCTAGAAGAAAGGCAACAAACATGAAAAAAGAAGAGTCTAAATTTTGGAAATTCTGTTGCATGCTATAGAATAAGAGATGTGCAATCACTGAAGAGTGGACAATGTTTTCTCCAAATTGCCTAGGAATTTGACTATTAACCTATGCCATCTGGTTTACACTGTAATATGAGTAAATCTGTGATTGATGAAGAATTCCATGACCTATGACTTGTGAGCTATGATTTAAGATTCAAAGCCAAATTCAAATATTGGCTTATTTGAAGCCTAGTGACCAGCAACTTGTGAGAGGCATTCATGGAGAACATAGGGAGTGGCTCTTGCAACTTGGGTTGAGCCAGCAGCTTGAGTAGCTCTGAAAGCGGGCCTATTTTTGGACTCAATAACAATGATGGCCTGAAACAATTCATACTCTTTAGGGTGGCAGGTGAATAACGACGGCCAATAGTCAGAGGATGAAGTCGCAAATGATGAACGTGTTGGCAAGGACTTATGAACAAAGAGTAGTGGAGGCGTCTTATGGTTCTGCAAGTTCATCTTACAGCTAATAAACATCAACGACAAAGAAAGCTTGTGTTCTCAAGTAAGTTTGTTCTTGTGTAACGCTTGAATCGATTCCAAGCATGATTCTAGTTCCTTCCATCCTGAATCCTTAGCTGGGTGATCCAAGATTCTTCACACCTTTTTCTTCTTCATCTTCATAGTAATCCAAGATTCTGTCACATTTTTTCTTTTTCATCTTCATCGAAGTTCTTCAATTGCGCCATTACTTCTACGTTGGATTTGTTCTGTTTCTGGTCTTCCGCATCATTTTTAGCAACATCGTCACTTTCAGCAATTCTGTTCTTGTTTGAATCAGTTTCTTGCATTTGCTCATTTGTGTCCTCTAGCAGACATGTTTTCTGTCAGTTTCATAAATGTCAGCAAGAAAA